CTGCTTTAGGCTGATATGGATATCTTACCGCTTCTCTTCTTCTACGCTCTTGCTCCAGTTTTCTTGCCAAATTACGATCTATGACAAGATTTGGTGCTGAGTGTGATTGCTCTCTTCCAGATCCTTTATTTGGAATGGGACAGCTATCTTTTACTGCTGTGGATTTCAAACCCATTTCTCTACTGTTTCTAAAGAAAAATAATCAACATTTTTTTGTATAGGAAGTCAGATATGCAAGCTTTACATTTGAGCGAACAAACACAGGATATTTGTTGCTTACAATCAGCAGTGATTTAGTAGGATGATTTGCCCATTGTCACTACAGTGGATGATGGGATGCCTTAAAAATCAGCAGGCTGGATGCATCCACCACTATATGCCAAGCATAACATTAATGCAAGCTCCCTCACCTTCCCAAAATATCATAGAAATGGAAATAAAGATGTACTAAAATTTCCTGAATTGCTGAAGTGACAGTTGACAAATATAGAGGCATTGCTATTATCCTTACATAGAAAAATATTGTTTGGTATTAGAGTTGTGACTATCTGGAGAGAGGAGGCCCTGAGGAGATGCTACCTCGCAGCCTTTCGTCAGGAAGGAAACAGGATTACCATGAATAATGACAAACATAACAAATGCACAATGAATTGATTGTGGGGAGAATGCCTGTTCGTTGTTTCAGGCGGCTAAAACAAAATTAAATATTGTTAAAGCATTTCATCATTAATCAAATGGTAAGTGATCCAGGAATAATACTCAGCAAGAGGAGAACCCCCCTAGAGGACGGTCTGGCTCAGCAGCATATCTCAGAGCACCATTGCTTGTTCCCAATTAAAAGTGACAATGTTAAATATGCATTATTAATAAGTAGTTTGCTTTTTTGAGTCTCACACAAATGCTTGTTGTCGGTGTCACGTTACCTCAGTTGGAGAACAATTCTACGCTACTAAGGATGATAAGAGTTAATTCTCCCGAAGCCCATTGAATTTCTGAGTAAAAAATCATAGGATAGGCAATTTATTCTAGTCATGGAAACTCAGAGGATGGTTTTAGGAAAAAAGAATTGGGCAGAGCAAGTCAAGTGCATGGTGACATTAACTCACCAATTCAATGAGTGCTTAAATTTTAAAGTTTTGCAAAGACCCTTTTGTTTTGTTAGTCTTGATTCCACAGATTATTCCAAAGGACAGTGTGAAAACCTGGTTGGTGCTTTTATATTTATTATCAGTGAAGCTGTCTTCCATCTTTTCACCAGCTTGAGTGATTGTTTCCACAACCATCTTTCTACTCTGCTCTGTATAAACCCAGTTTGTGTACCAGTACTGTGGGCGTGGCTTAGGTGGTGGGCGTAGCTTGGTGGTCATGTGACTGGGTGGACATGGCTTGATGGTCATGTTATTGGCTGGGCGTGGCCAACTCAATATCACTCACATCGAGGCACGCATCTCCTCGCCTGGCCTCTCATGACTGTGGGGATGCTGCAACAGTCGTAAATGTGAAAAATGGTCATAAGTCACTTTTTCAATGCCACTGTAACTTTAAATGGTCACTCCACACAAGCAAAGTACCAGCAAAGGAGGAAAAAAAAAAACTCCAGAGAAGTTCCAGAGACAGGAAGTCTAATCCTGCCAAGAATGTAATAAGGGTTAACGGAGAGGCAGTTTCTGTAAGCAACTCCAGAATGTTTCCTTCCTGCCTTCCTTACAGGATTAGGCCAGTAATTTCTTCTAACAACCGGTTCTCAGAACTGCTTAGAATGTTAACAACCGGTTCTAACGAATAGGTGTGAACAGGTAGAATCCCACCCCTGCTGAAAAGGATATTCAACACTGTTTTACCAGCATATCCTCTTGCTATTAAGTTTAAATATTTTTCTTATATAAGACTCAGTTTCACAGAGCTACAAAACAAGGCAGCTAGAAACTACTTGCTACAAAGTCAGTTAATAGACATGGGAAATAGAGCCTTTCAAGTTTAATTCTATGGAATTACCAACCTCTCTTTTTCCTGAGGATGTTTTTTCGACTTCCTCTCTGCTTGTTCCAATCGTCTTTTTCGTTCCTTGGCCCACTCACTTTCTCCTTTTTCCAGCGCAGCTTTTTGAAACTGTCTGAAGCTTTCGTTAGAGGATTTGACCGAGACTGGAACATTCACCATCTTACCTAAACTTGTCCAAGAATCTGCATGTTTGACTTTTATATCCTGCAATTATAACCAGCAACGTAGTTCTAAACACGAACAGATAACTGTCTTCCACATCTGACAGGACTCCCAAAGATAAAGAGCATGTAGGTTTTTGTTTTAAATGTAATTATTGTATCCTGATAAATTTAGAGCATTTTCATATCACCAACCATATTCCTTCACTAGTCTCTTAAACAGTTGAAGCTAACCTGCAATTGCGTTTATTGTAGCTGAACTTGAAATGCCAAGATCTGTATGAATTGATCATTTTTTTCTTACTGACTTCAACAAGAAAGCACATAGATCTTTAATACCCCATGCCCTTATATTCACATTATTAGTTCACATTGTGTGCATTTCCTTGGTACATCCCTATCATGAACAAGCTGTAAGATGAAACCATCAAGGCATAGTTGCTCCATTGAAATGGGAATCCTATGATAGCAGATGGATGAGGTTGTTCTCCAGCCATGAGCTGGAAGGAAATTGAAACAACTTACAGCTCATGGGAAATGGTTCTGTCCGGAGGCTCTTCAAAGCTTCAGGGACTCAGATTAAAAAAAATGGTCTTTCTGTGATTCTATATATGCTTTATGTGAACCAGAAATATGGTACATCAGCTCTGCTGCACCACAGAGATAGGGATATAAGATCAGCCATAACCAAAGAATCCATATTGACTCTATTTAAAATTAACAACATTGTTTGTAAATATATGTAACAAATCTCCTAGGTGAAGCTTTGTTGGGAAAGGCAGTAATTTAGTTCCTAAAAACAAACAAACCAAGAGAAGATAGCGAGGGACCGAAATAGCCTACAAAGCTACACATGTATCCAATGAAATAATGGCAACTCCTAGTTATCATGGATCAGTTTTAGCAAGAAATAAGATTTTTTCCCCTTTTACAGATGTTAGTGGGAGGCCTTAAAGGAAAAAAAAAAGATTTGACTACTGTGAGGAGCATTCCCAAGCCACTGATTTACATCTCTTTTGTTTGTATGTGTGCAGATGGTTGCAATGTGACAGTTTTTTCCTGCTTGAAATGGAGGCTGATACAGCTGGGGCTCCAAAATACAAAGAATGACTGAGGTGGCCATTGGATGGTCCATAACTCTCTCTGTTAAGACTGTATTTATTTGTAGATAAAGTGTCCTGCAAATTCTATCATTCTAAAGGACAATTTATGAAAATTCTGAAGTCTGCTAATGATTGTCAAATATTTCTGCTATAATTATTTTATATCTTGCCTTTATTCTGTTTATAAACAGCTCAAGATGGCAAACATAGGTCTACTGTAATACTTCTTCCTTCTCCTATTTTCCTCACAACCACCATAGCCCTGTGAAGTGAGAGGCTAAGAGAGTGTGACTGGTCCAAAGTCATCCAGCTGACTTTCATGCCTAAAATAGGATTAGAACCCAGTGTGTGGTGGTTTTTAATCTGGTGCCTTAACCACTAGGCCAAACTGGTTCAATGTATATACCGTATATATATATCTATATCTATTGATATAGTAATATATATTACTATATATCATTGATATATTGATCCATATCATTACACTTATTGATATATGTGAGTGTAAATCAGAGCAAAAAGTTTTGGCTCACCATCAACTGATTTTTTTAGACTGCAACTCAAACATGCGATTGCTTTCAGGTTTATTACTTTTATTGCTAGCTCTTTACCCTAAAATATGCTTTCTTCACTTGTTTTTTTTAAAATCACAAATCTAGACTGCATCGCTGCTGCATTGATTCACTTCATTGTTCCTCCTTCGTTGCCTCCTTGATTTTTAGATATGAATTGCAATATTTGTCACTTGAATTGCAATTGTAATATCAATTTGTTTTGAACTGATTGATGAAGAAAAAGTAAGATTTTTAAGGGTTTTACTTAGACTGTGCTTTGTTATGGCTTGTGGATCTGTAATTGTTTTAGCAGAGACAAAGGTATTATTAAAAGAGGTCTCTATTTATTTTATTAACTAAGTTCAAATTTAAAAATACAATCAAAATGCAACTCCTCTTGCTTTTAGAAATACAAATTGAACAAAACACTGTGAGAAGCAAAAAGCATCTAAAAGCATAATTATCAGAATAAAGTTTATAATCAAAGTTGTAGAGAACTTTTTTTAAAAATGTATTTCTTATTTCTGAATAAATATAGAGGAATCATGGTGCTGCTGAATAGTACAGTATTAGCTGACACTACTGTTTTAATTATATTCACCGTGACTAGTAATAAAACAAATTCTCAGCAGAGTCAAAGAAAGTTCTGCATAGATGTACTTTGGGATAGAAATACACATAAACATTTTACTATCCCTCTTTGAGATAAGCAAAAAGGAATAAAAGACAGAAAATAAGAGAATGAATTTTAACTAGATGAAACAACTGATACACAATGAGATTGCCAGTATGACATTTTTTGTTGGCTACAAAATATAATATGTGAAGAGCCATTGTGCATCGGTTCAAACCAGCTTGATGGAGATAATTGTTTGGGGATGAGAACAGCTATCTCATCAAGATGTAAAGCATTCCCAAGATTATGTTAATCAGCTCTTAGAATGCTCTGCATCTGTATGGTATCTTCTGGGCGTTATTAAACATGCCTTCAGATCAACTGAAGAAATGAACTGAGATTGTACATCCTCCAGATCTCTCAACAGCAGTGCTCAATTTCCATCATTTATTCCTGCTGCAGTGATGAAGGGGAGCTTTAGAGTGGCAGGAGCCTGGGGCTTAGGGTGAAGGAAAGTGCTTGATGACAATGTCAACAGACTAGAACAGTTTCAGAAAAAAACTACCCTGTAATCTGCAACTCTTCCACTGCAAAAACATATGGACTACACAACTCGATCAGGGCAAAGCAATAGACGCAATCTACATAGACTTCCGTAAAGCCTTTGATTCAGTGGTACACGACAAATTACTCCTAAAACTAAAATCTTATGGTATCTCTGGACACCTACATAACTGGATAGAAGCATTCCTGTAAAACAGACAATAAATGTTCAAAATTGGGAGCGTCCTATCAAATTCTGTACCTGTCAACAGTGGTGTCCCCCAAGGCAGTGTTTTAGGACCAACTCTCTTCATACTCTACATAAATGACCTCTGTTATCATATTAAGAGCAACTGTGTTCTCTTCGCTGATGATGTAAAGCTATTCAACACCACAGACAATACTACTACCCTCCAAAAAGACTTTGACTATGTATTAGAATGGTTAATCAAATGGCAACTTCAAATCTCAACAAATAAATGCTCTGTCTTACATATTGGCAAAAAAAATCAGAAAATAAAATACAAGCTAAATAATCAAGACTTTGTTGAGGATCCAAACTTTGTCAAGGACCTTGGAGTACTCATCTCTAATGATCTAAGTGCTAGAGCCCACTGTAACTACATAGCCAAAAAGGCATTAAGAGTTGTTAATCTAATCTTACGTAGCTTCTTCTCTGGTAATATCACACTACTAATGAGCATACAAAACTTTTGCTAGACCTATACTTGAATACAGCTCATCAGTCTGGAACCTATATCATGTATCTGATATTAACACAATTGAAAAAGTCCAGAAATATTTCACAAGAAGAGTTCTCCACTCCTCTATTCATTGCAGAATACCTTATGCCACCAGACTTGAAACTCTAGACCTAGAAAACCTAGAACTACGCTGCCTCCGGTCCAATCTAAATATAATATATAAAATCATACATTGCAATGTCCTACCTGCAAATGAGCTTCAGTCATAACAATACAAGAGCACACAATAGATACAAACTCAAGGTTAACCGAACCAAACTTGATTGCAGGAAATACGACTTCAGCAACAGAGTGGTCAATGTTTGGAATACTCTACCTGACTCTGTGGTTTCTTCCCCAAACCCCAAAAACTTTAACCTTAGACTGTCTACTATTGACCTCATCCCCTTCCTAAGAGGCTTGTAGGGGGCATGCATAAGCGCACCAATCATGCCTACCGTCCCTGTCCTATTGTTTCTTTTTATTTTTCTTATAAGTATCTCATGTATTCAAAACTATGTTTATTCTTATACCTGTATCTTGTAAGTGATTGACAAATCAAATAAATACTAAATACTAGAAAGGGTGGAGTAGATTCTATTTGTTGTCTATGTGGATCTGAAGCCACATCTGGTAATGTGAGTAATGCACTAATGAGAGCCAGTTTGGTCTCGTGTGAGGATACCTGGCTAGGTAAATTTGATCTAAGATGGCACCAACAATGGCTGTCTCGATGAAATGCTCTCTAATGGTTTCTTCTATTCTATTCTAGAGCCAGGTGACTGTGAGTTCCAGTCCTGCCTTTGGCATGAAAGCCCACTGGGTGACTTTGAGCCAGTCACTCACTCTCAGCCCAACTCACCTCACAGGGTTGTTGTTGTGGGGAAAACAGGAGGAGGAAGGTGTATCTGATATGTTCAGCATCTTGAGTTATGTGTAAAAATAACAATGGCAGAAATAAAAAATAATGTCCAAAGCTATTGCAGAAAGCAGCACATGTTTTACCTTTATTAGAGGAGTCTGAGGCTTAGCATCTCTCTTTTTTTTATCCTCACGGTTAACAGAACAGTTTTCTGTAACAGTCGCACGTGCGGATTCTGTCATCTGTGGTCGCCAATGGCCATCTGGGAAACTAGCCTTCAGTTCTGGAATGCAAGCCAGATCAGAGGCGGAGTAAGTGAGTTTTCAAGAGAGCGAAGATGTACTCCATTAGTTTTTGTTATTAGAACCCTTCATTCGAAGTGCTATCAATTTCAGCATTTTTATCGACCGTATTTGAATTACAGGGTATATTTCCATTTGATAGGCTTTGGAGGCTTTGTTTATCCCTTGTTTACTTGGCATAGTTTCCAAATAGGCAGAAGGATAGGAACGCCCCATGTGACTACAGCTGTCTATTTTCAGATGCCTGCTTGAGTGTAGAAGGTGCACATTTCCCTCCTCCTCCCTTAACATGGACCATTTAGCCTGTTATAATGGTCTTTCCTGGCTCCCCAAGGAAGGAAAAGCCTGGATCCTTATACTTAATATAAAGCTCCCCATGACAACTGCTACCAGCTTCTCCCCTAAGAATAAGTCATCCATTACATCTAGTGGTGCTATGAATTTAAAAAACACCACATTTCTTTTGCTTTCCTTAGGAACAAACAGCAATGTGTGAAGTGATAAGCTTTTGAAAAGTATTGTTATGCTGCAAAGCAATGGTGCCATAACTCAAGTTGCACTATATGCATATAAACCCTAGATAGCCAACAGAAAATCCTGCAAATAAATTAGTAGCAGCTCTATGCTCCTTAAGCATTCCAATTATATTTCATCCTAAGTAGACACACTTTGAGGGCAATGGTGGGATTCAGTAACTAAGAGTGGTTAACAAATAATGCAGAGTTACTGCTTCATAGCTTTAATGCACAATGCTCTTACATTCTTCTTCTTCTATCAACTCACTGGTATATCCCTGAGGCTATTGAATATATATCTGGATATATCCACACAGCATTGAATCCAGATCCTATTTCTTTTTGTTCATAATTCTTGTAGATTACCACTTTTGGGTAACAATTGGGTGATAAACCAGCAAAACCCAAGCTTCTTGGATCCCATGATGAGTTGCAAATATTTAGGGTACTTCCATAGGGGGCTTGAACACTCAGCCCCAGACCTGTTCATTCTTTCCCTATCATCTAAGTGCAGAAGCTGAACCAATGGCAGACTACATTAAGACACAGCACCCCCTTTTTTCCCTTTCAAAATGCTGCAGCACTACAGAACTTCCATTTCCCCCATCTGCAGGAACTGACCTCCAGCCCTGCCCCCTTTCTCTCCTCCATCGTGGGAATACTTGACTCCGCCTCCAACTGCATGTCCTTTATCTGCCTGTAAAAGCATTCCCTAAATTTTGAATTGGGCAGGTGTGATGTAGTCATGGCTGTGCTTCCTATTGTTTTGGGAGAGGGGTATGAAAGCACCACTGAATGGCGACATGAAAGCACATTTACTATTGGTCTTTGACTGTAATAAACACTAATTTGGCTTGATACTTAATATGTGATGTTAATATTGGTAGCCAATACATACTTTGCTCCTGGTCAGTTGGTGTTACTTTGGTAACTCCCACAGAGGATTTAATCTGGACAGCAGATGGCAGTCGCTGATGCAATAATGATGGTTTCCGAACATCTTTCCTGTTGTCCGAAGGGTTATTTGAAGAGGAAGAACAAGGTACCTATAGGGAAGTTGCAAAGTCATAAAAGAACTGTATCACAATTGTAGAGGTCACGCATCCTATAATGGTTTTGCCTACAAGTGGAGAGGCTAACATGCCTTTTTGTATTTCCTCTGGCCACCCCTACCCAGTTATGTAGGATAAGCTTCATTCATGGATGAAAGAAATAGAAACTTAATGCTGAAAAGCTCAGAGGTAGTCTAATGCTACTTATCCTCATGACTTCTGGAAACCTGTATAAAGTGATTTCTATTTCTTTCTCTAACCTTCCCATTCCAGAAAATCCTACATTCTTTCTAATGTAGAAGAAAACAAACTGTAATACCATTTCTTTCTAATCAAATAACTTTTAGTGAACTCATCATATTCAATCGGGTGAAGGGAAGTACTGGCTCCAACCAACCTGGTATTTACCCTTGTGTGAAGATACAGCAATTCTGCCCACCAAAACTATCCTTTAAAAGTCTTCCATAAATGCTAATCACTGAAAATATCAAGACACTGAAAAGGTGTTTTATGTATATTTATATGTATATGTATATAATATACTTTAAATAAAGAGCCACTTTCATTTCCCAATGTTATCTGTGATATCCACCTCTGAAAGCGTGTAAGAAGAGTTGTGAGAAGCCTGGGTTGCCATTGCATCACTCTGAGTTGTCTCGTGAACTGGCGTGCAGTGCAGGGGTGACACAACGGCTATTATACCTGCAAGAAGGAAGGGAATCATATAGAAGAACGCCCGTGCCATGTTTCATCTCTTTACCCTGATAACTTCAATCACAATAATGTCGCAAACTCCTAACTCTGCATTGGTCCAAGTCAATGGGTGCTTTTGAGTATGATGAGTCCGTGTTCAGGACTTCTTTTAACTGCCTCATCCCAATCGCGGAGTTGGAGGAGGGCAGAGCTATATGAAAGGGAGGCACATAAGAAGAAAGTATCCACACAAAGTACCTAATTTGCTGATACAGAAAGTAGCTGTGCACACCTAAGGGCTTCGGGGAGAAACTGAGAAGAAGTGTGGGGCAGGGAGGGGAAATCCATCCAAATATTTTCGAAAATAACAGTGGATTTTGGATGGCAGGCCTGCAAAGAGCTGAAACAAGTTTCAGATAGATTGTGAGTAAAACACAATCAGTTGGATGCATGGAGGGCACATGCAGCTTCCTTTCATGAGCTGTTTGAACATGGAATATCTATCTATCTATCTATCTATCTATCTATCTATCTATCTATCTAT